TATGAAGTTTGAGGGCTGTAGGTCAAAAGGAACTCTAGTTATCATCCGGAAACGAGAAATTGACCAACGGTCACTGTGACCTTGACCTTTGACCTACTGACCCCAAAAACAATAGGGATCATCTGCTCTATAAGACCAATCATCCTATGAAGTTTGAGGGCTGTAGGTCAAAAGGAACTCTAGTTATCATCCGGAAACGAGAAATTGACCAACGGTCACTGTGACCTTGACCTTTGACCTACTGACCCCAAAAACAATAGGGATCATCAGCTCTATAAGACCAATCATCCTATGAAGTTTGAGGGCTGTAGGTCAAAAGGAACTCTAGTTATCGTCCGGAAACGAAGAATGGACGGACGGACGGACTGACGGACTGACGGACAGGGCAAAAACAATATGTCTCCCCCCGAGGTGGGGGAGACATAATTAGCATTTGGGTCACGGGGTCACCAAATGTTATGCAAAGGTATCCGAACCTAAATTCTCGCTGGTCACGTGATAAATAGGGCAGAAATGGCGGCGAATTTTATGAAATGTGAACCCACTGATAAACTTTCAGGCATTTTTTCATCAATCTAATGTTTTGTGTTCAAAAATATAGACTGAGGTGTCCCAAATATATCTAACTATCTGTATTCAAATAGCTTTTGCCCAAATCACGCAAATTTATTGAATTACAGCATGACATAAATATGTCACGGTTCTGGTTGACTTTCGATACAGGATTGGCTTCAGCGAACAGGTCTAGCGGTACTATAAAATCTGTTCGCTCAAGTCTCTTTAGCTTGGCTAGACAATACAGTGTGTCCTGGCTAGTCGTAAGTGACTCACTTACGGCTAGAACTTTTGGCTAGACGTAGGCAAAGGGGTACGGCTCATTGAATGTTCACAAAATATGTATTTGATGGTAGAAAACATTTATCCTATGTCAAAAATGAATTCTAAGTTCATTCCCATTACACTATATACTAATATATAGACAAGGGTAACAACTCTCATAAGAAGGTGTCTATGCCCAATCAGGGTTTAAACTCGCCTGCGGCTTCAATTCAAAATATTTCCCGAAAATATACCCGTAAATTTCCGAAAAAAACCGACTTATCAGATGACGGTTGTTTATATTCATCAAGATGGCGGTGTTTTATAGAATTTTCAACGGGGAAATATTTTGAAGCCGCAGGTGAGTTTATATCACATTGTCATTACAGGGTTCTCGGGGACGCTTATTTCGGCGTCCCGGTACGCATGTTTATTGCAGCTGGACGCATATATTTCAGAGCAAGGATTCCACGTACGCTTAATTTTGCCCGGGGACGCATAAACATTCCCGATTGTTTACAACCACAAATACACAAATGCGTCAGCGCGTGTCAGTCTATAGGTAGGCGGTCCTATGCACATCGACCCGTGAAGCAATTAGCCAATCAGCGATAACGCTTCCGATCATTATCACGCAATAGTGATCAGACTAATGTATACACGCGCTGTAAAGTACATGTAATTACCAGATATATCACGAGGTGATAATTTTATATCTTTGATCAACAGTTGATTGGAAATTAGCAAATTTTACCGACAAAAGGATAAAATTATCGACTATTTGCGCCGCAAGTTTAAAGACTGTTTTCTCAAATTACAATTGAGTGTAATTTTGAATGATTGTCGAATATTTTCGGCATTATAATGATTGTCGAATATTTTCGGCATTTTCTAGGCACAACTTTGCTTTAGTTTCATTCTTGCAAAAACTTTCTATAAGAGTATTAAGAATTTAAGATATTGTGCCGAAATGCCAGGTACACATACACTTTTCTCTATCTGAAAATTGATCCCGAACATCGGCGATTTCACGTTCGCCAGAAACCCTAAATTTCGCAAAAATTGTCAGTTACCAAGCCAAACATGCGAATGAATTGTTTCTTTATTATTTAATCAACATTAAATCTTTAAATGTCGATCTTTAATTTGCCCCCTTTTGAAGATATTTGGTAAAATAATCGTCGATCGGATGAATCTCTTACACAGTGTACAGATATACATCATATAAACAAGGGATTTCCAGCTCATCAACAGTCATCATTTTAACACACTTTTAGTTACTGTCACATCACTTTATCATATTTTAGCATTGCACTTTAGCATGATAAGTTCATGAAACCGTCTGTCAGTCAGACTGCATCTATCACTGGACGGAAAATTTTACCCGCAACACTAAACAAACGCTCTACAGGGGCCAATGATGCAGGAATGGTCCTCAGTCTTCTTGGTGTAGGTTTCATAATGAACTCTCTGCAACAGAAATTTTGAAAAGTGTCAATTGTACAGTATGCTCAGGGGTGTGGAAATATGAAATTTTGCCACTTGCCCACGGACAAGTTGGCCAGAAATTTTTACTTGTCCGCAGCTTAACTGTACTTGCCCATATGAAAATACAAAACATTGGCCATGTGTTTAAACAAAAGTTAATTAGAGGTAACAGTGTTCTTTCATATAGTAAAGTGTGAACAGATTTGCTTAGTAAAGACCAGACATCATTTCTGTAGTTTAAGGAAACAATCTACAACTCTTATAAAGCAATGAATGATGTCCAAACAATTATCCTTTTGAAAAAATTTGAACCAAAACAACTTTACAATTGTTACCAAATGTGCATTTTAAAATCTACTTTAAATAAAGAGTTAGGTTCCTCCATATGACCTGCATGTATCAAGGAGCCTGCTTTCCTACAAGAGTTCTTCCATGGGTTGAAATGATTGATATGAAAAAGTGTATTTCCTCATAGTTAACCAAGAAACATAACTTAACTTACTACAATAAATGTTCCCCATTGATAAGCAACAAAAATACAGTATTTTGTTTTTCCTACTGGCTCAGATTTTCACTTGTCCACGGACAAGTTCTATGGAAAAATCTACTTGTCCGCAGGCATAAAGTCCCCAGTCCGACAAGTCGGGCATGGGATTTCCACACCCCTGATGCTGTATACAGGTGTTAAAACAGGTGTGAAAACAATAAAATTTTATATGGGAATTCAAAGAGACAATAGACTTTACAAAGAAATTATCAATTTTTTTACAAACACTTCAATGTTACAACAGTATCCATTATAATATAGACACATTGTCTATCACCTTACAAAATAACTGTTGCATATAATTAAAATATGGTAATATGCATCTGACATAAACTCTAGAATATACAAAGTAAAGAAGTTATCTACATTGTTTGAAACTTCTTAAAACAAGGTTTAACCAAAATATGTGAAACAAAATTTAACATACCTTAATGTGGGTAATGAAATTTGAATGTGACTTAGTGTTTCCATTTATCTTCTTAAGGCACAATTTGCACTGTGCTGTCACATTTTCAGATGTTTCTTTAGGAACTTCAAAGACATAATAAATCCAATGATTTGACATTTTGGTTAGCATACCAGCCAAACAATGATGTCTATCTTTCAGTTAGAATTTGGTTAACTGTATGGATTAAAACTTATTTCTTCATTGTGAGTGATGTCTTAAAATGTCTCACTTGATATTTTACTACCTTAGTTAAACTGTAACATGTGAAATAAATCATTTGAAATTCAATAGTTTCATGTAAAATCTGAAAGTAATCAACATCAATCAAATTGTAATCATAATTACAGACTGAATTTAAGCTGTAATTGATTAATTACAATTAATGTAATCATTTTTTTAGCAAGGTAATCAATTACATGATGATTACAGTGTAATCATGTAATCAATTAAAAAATCGATGATTACGATTAGTGATTACCCCAGGTCTGTTACACACTGTGTGAATCTGTACACGATTTTCCTATTCATTCCGCATATATACATTTACGTTTTTTTTTTAACAAATACAAACTTTTTGTCTTAAGAGTGGACTTATTTAACCAGAGAAAAATTTGATTTGGTATAAAAGTGAAAAAAAAGAAAAGATTTCCATGGGTTGATGCATTATAATGAAATAATTTCATAATAAATATTAACAACAAAACAATAATTATACTATGTAGTTCAGAGTTTCTTTTGAATAACTATTTACTTTGGAAGTCTCTTGAACATTCAAAATATCAGCAATGCTATTGTGAACATTGGATGACTAATTAATCTGTAAACATATTAATTGCGACACGCTTTTGGACTCCAACTTTTTCAGGGTTGGGAGTCCATGGACTCCATGTTTTAAAGTCCTAGTGAGAACCCTGCATTATAGGTTATTGGTATATTTTGATTACTTTTATCTATTTTTAATTGCCCAGCATGATAAATGCTTGTGATATTATCTACCAACGATTGCAACAGTCGTGTAACTTTGTGTTTCCTGCGTAGCCACGATAGATGTCGATCTCGCGAAAATGAACAGTTTTTTGTTACTTTTACGGCCAGTAGTCGTCAAGTATAAGAGATATAAGAAAAGTTTTACATTGGTTCGATAGATAAATCATTCGACTACAAATTGCATAATTCCCTTTTATTTATGCTGTATCGTTTAAAAAAACTGCGAGGCAAAAACCCTGATTGGGCATAGACACCTTCTTATGGGAGTTGTTACCCTTGTCTATATATTAGTATATAGTGTAATGGGAATGAACTTAGAATTCATTTCTGACTTAGGATAAATGTTTTCTACCATCAAATACATATTTTGTGAACATTCAATGAGCCGTACCCCTTTGGCCGTAGGGCTTTCTAGAGATTTAATATTAAACGAGGAATCTGTTAAAAACTTGCCAAATAATACCTCTACATCATATGACTTTTCAAAAAAAGAACATATATTCTTGCAAAGTGGCGTTACAGTAGAGAAATGGCACTTAAAACTCTTATAATTGATTTATTCATATGTGCATAAATTAAAACCAAAATGGCGGCGACACTTTGCCGGCATATTAAAGAGATAATAACTCGTTTAACAGCGTTTCTTTAGATATTAAATCCTTCTATTTATGTAAGAATACTTAAACTGTAAATAAAAATACAATAAGTTACCTTTTTCTTTGGCTTTTGAGGCATTTTTGTTATAGTTTTATACTTTTTTACCGAGAACAAAGCGTGCTCGCGAAGTCACCTGGATCTAAATTCTGTCCACTTCCGTAGTATTCATGGGTGATACTAATCGACGGTCTCCGGTCTTCGACGGTCCCCAGTCTCCAAAGACCGAAGACCGTCAATTGTAGTAGACCGTCGATTAGTAGGTTATAACACAAATCGACGGTCTCCAGATTATAAACGTAATTAGACAGAATGACCAATAGGCAATAACACTTTTATTTTCAGTGATTAATGTCAATAGTTTAGAGTGATTAACGGGTATTTTTGATGAAAAAAATACAGTAATAATAAAAAAAGAAAGAAATTTTATAAAAGTTATAAAAATATTTTTAGAATTTAGATGTTGTGTTTGTTCAGTTGTAATTCAACAATGATCAATTAATTGTCTTAATGAAATAAATACATTTTTGACTTAATATATGTAAAGATAAAGTAGAATCATCTATTAATAGGTTATTACACGAGATTTATTACATAATTGAAATTGCGAAATAGGTAAAATGTGGCCAATAAGCATTTTTTTTTCCTAAAAATAAAATAAACTTTAACTTAAAAATGTTATTGTTTTTCTCCGTGGAAAATCTAATATAATTTGTTGAGAGCGTCCAGTTATTACATTTCGCCAAAGGTTAGATGTAAATAAAATAAATAACGGATTTTACTGTTTGCGAAATGTAATATCCAGGCCACACCACGGGGAGGAACTCTCTCGTGGCCCAACCTTACTTTATAAAAAGAAAAAATGTGAGATAATGTATTAAAACAAAATTGCACATGAAAAGTTAGAAAGGTAACAAAAATATAATTAAAGAAATCTATTAGAATGGAAAAAATCGTCAACTTCTGTCTAGAAATAAAAAATATACAACATAAAAAGCCTACTTGTTCCTGAATGCAAAGAAAAACGATGTTTAAAATAATCAAATCTGTTGAATTGACAAATGACCTGTTGAACTGACAAATGGAAAAGGCAAAAATAATGGTTTACGAAATATACAAAATGCAAATATAAACAACAAAAAAAAAACACACACATTTAAAGGCAATGTAAATTAAATTAAATCAGCTAATAAATTTCAAATTACAAAGTATATAAGTGAAAATAAAACATGAACATAGTAAACATGTATGCAATTAATTTATGGCATAATGTAAAAAAGTGAGAGAATATTTTATAATAAATTATGCAATTTTGCACAAGAAAAGTTGCAAAAATATTATTTCAGAAATTTATTAGTATTGATTTCTTTATAGCACAATTTTGGTTTTAAAAATCTGTCTGGAATAAAAATTTAAAACATATAAAACTGTTAATATAAGGCCTTACTTTTTAATGAACGCAAAACAAAAAAACGATGTTTGAAATAATCAAATCTGCTGAATTGACAAATGACCTGTTGAACTGACAAATGGAAAAGGCAAAAACAATGGTTTACGAAATATAAAAATGCAAATATAAACAAAAAACACTAACTTAAAGGCTATGTAAATAAAATTTAAATCAGCTATTAAATTTCAAATTACGAAGTACATAAGTGAAAATAAAACATGAACATAGTAAACATTAATGCAATCAATTTATGAAATAATGTAAAAAAGTGAGAGAATATTTTATAATAAATTTTGCAATTTTGCACGAGAAAAGTTAGACAATAAAATATGAAAAACAAGATCAAGTTACAAAAAAATTATTTCAGTTATTTATTAGAATTGATTCTTTATAGCACAATTTTGGTTTTAAAAATCGGTCAGGAATAAAATTTTAAAACATAAAAGTTGTTAATATAAGGGCCTACTTTATAATGAATGCAAAATTTTTTTTTAAAATAATCAAACCTGTAAAATTAACAAATAAAAAGGCAAAAATAATGGTTTTTGTAATATACAAAATGCAAATATAAACAAACAAAAAATACACTTAAATGCAATGTAAAATAAAACAAAATGAGCATTACGCCGCCTGTCAATCAAGCTGGCAGGGGTCACAGAGATAAGCTAATCAGCGATCGTTATCAGTTTCACGCTAAGATGCCTGCGAAGTCCGCCATTTTCCTTTCTAAGACAATGGTGCATTAATTGAAAGTATTTTAATATCTGTCAATTTAAAGCTATAAATCTGTATATTTATTCAACAACAACAACATATTTATTCAGGTATCAAATATAATGATAGATCGAGTAAGTAAGTTTATAAATAAAAGTCAATAATTATCTACAAATGGAAATACTAAGTTCTGTTGCAGGTACGAAATCTTTATCCTGGCTATCTGTTCATAATCACATTAAATATTATAAGGTCCATGAATATCCAGAACGTATGACATTTTTTTCGTTTATAATTTATAGCGTCAATAAAAACGCAGCGTAAAAAATGTAAATTAAATGAGTAAATAAATAAACAAATGGGTGAAACTATCTTACCTGAATATTTCTATAAAAGTTCAATAAGTTAAGAATAGTTATTCGAATAGATCTGCTTAATACGAAACTAATACCACTAGCATCATATCTACTGTATGTGAAGGTTATTTTAAAAAGAATAACGTTGCGTTTTGTCGTGAATCATATCAAATACACGTATGTAAACAATGCATAATGACATATAATGCAACGTTGTGCAATGGCATGCAATTTTCTCAATCAGTCTGAACAATTCATTAACAAATTCATATATTATAATAAATGAATTACCACTTGCCTCTCACCGCTGTGGGTTCGAATCCCGACAGGGACTTCGGATTCTTTCACGTGAGGAAGCTATAATATATTCAGGCAACAATTCTGGTAACAGTTTTTGATTATTTGCCATTATTACTAATTAACAATCCGCTCCAACAGATTGATTTAAACGATTATTTTTTACCACTTTTAAATAAATGCTTCAAATATAGTCCGCTTTCCACCTCGAATACATAAACACTAAAAACAAAAATACATATAATTAACTAGACTATTTATGATCAAGATGTTACCCATGTTACCCATACTAAATATCTATGTTGCATTCCTCTCACGTGTTATTGCCTGAAACATGTTAAATGTATATTAATAAAATATCGTCTTAGAGAAAATGCTTATTGGCTGGAAACATAGATTAATAACACGACACCGTCGATTCGTATAGTAACCTACTAAACGACGGTCTCCTACAATCAACGGTCTTTGGAGATATAACCATACCACGAGACCGTCTATATTTATAATACTACTAATCGACGGTCTCTCTCAATTGACGGTCTTTAAGGGTCTTTAGAATACATACAATTGTGCGTTATCTAACACATTTTTATAGATTTTTAAATTAAAAATATCGAGATTATACTACTACTTATAATAATAATATAGAGGGAGTTCATGTAATAAAATCTGAGACCTTAAACAAGAAAATAAAAAATAACAAAAAAGAAAACTGAAAAGAAAAAAAAAAGAAAAAAAAAAATAGTTTTGCTTATTGACTGGCTAAATTAATTAATAACTACATAATATCCATTTATTCATGTATAATCACGAGACCGTCGATTTGTGTAGTAACCTACTAATCGACGGTCTCCACGAGGCCGTCAATATTTATCAAACTACTGTAGACTATGATTGACGGTCTCTCCCTCTTGACGGTCTTGAACGGTCTTAGACAATTGTGTGCAAACTTACATTAACAATTTTTCTGTTTAAATTATTCTGAGTATACTGCTATAATATTACTTATACATATGGTAATATTATCGATGAAGTTAATAGTTAAAAATACAAATAAAAATCACTCATAAATACAAAAAGGGGAAATCTGGAAAAATATCAATGATCTGAAATCAATAAATCATTATCTTAGAGAATTTGCTTCTAACCGGCTAAATTAATTGATAACTATGTAATATCCATCAAATTAATGTATAATCACGAGACCGTCGATTTGTATAGTAATCTGCTAATCAACCGATAAAACTATACCATTAGACCGTCTTTATCTATAAACTACAAATCGACGGTCTCTCCCCATTGACGGTCTTCTTTGGTCTTTAGAATATATGCAAATATGCATAAACTCACGAATTTATATTTATACTACTACTACTACTACTACTACTACTCACTACTACTAACTACTACTAACAATAATAATATAGATCTAAATAAAAATATAAGACCTTGATATTTATTTATAAATTCAATAACATTTTTATATTTCAATATATTTCATTGTTAATTTGTTTATCTAATTTGCTGCATAACAATATCTTATTTCCCCATATTTTTTTTATATTTTTCCATTTTTTATCTAATCATTTCTTTCCCCATTAATATCCTTAAATATTGACATAAACAGAACAGAACAGAACAGTTCTGTTCTGCCCATTAATATCCTTAAATATTGACATAAATAAAGTATCGTCGTAAAAGAAAAATGTTAATTGACCTATTATTAATTATTTCTAAATTATTCTTATCAATTCATCGCGAGACCGTCGATTTGTGTGATAAACTACTAATCGACGGTCTCCTACAATAGACGGTCTTCGACGGTCTTTGGAGACCATCAAAGACCGTCGATTTTGCGGAAACCGTCGATTAGTACCCCCCAGGATTGGGAAAATACTGAAAACCGGGATCCGGAATCTATGTAATGATTTTATTCTGATTTTTGGAGACGGTGTACACTCATGCATTCTCACTTAAGTACGACATTCCATGTCTTCAATGTTCTATGCAAATTGGTTGAAGTATATAAGCGCGAACATTCCTGTGAAATGTTTAAACAATTGACTGCATCGGTACCTGTAGATGGATATCAAAATATGCTAATTTCGCGATAATAAGATTGCGGCTTAAAAAAAAATTGAAATAGTGCATTTATCTGTTGAAATTATTATGTAAGTTATATATATTCATTGAATGATTTTACAGCAAATTAAAATTATAGAACAATAAAAATAAATTTAAAAAAAAAAAAAAAAAAAGAAGTTTGAGCCGAAAATTACTCTCGTACGAAAATAGCTCAAAGCGAAAATAAAATCGGGTTTCCTAAATAAGATTTATTTTTGATATGTTTTGCATACAATTTCGTACTGCAAAATGAACTG